ACAAACAAACAAACATACAAGTAAAAAACAAGGGACTCTAGTGCAGTGAAAAAATAATTTCTCTATTCATATTATACAAGAAAAGAGACCGAAGTAAAACAAGAAGTTAATATTTTCACAGTTTGGCTGGACCTTAAAAAATATTACTCAGCAAAAAAGTCTTACTATAAGACATTGAAAATAAATGATTTTGAGACTTTGTTTCTGGCCAGAATAGAATTGACAGGGACTGGATAGACCCTCCCATCTGAAACACTAAAAAAAAAAAAAAAAAAAAAAAAAAACAGATGAAATACATGAAGTAGCAATTTTCAGACATTGAACAATGCACAACATAGGACAGTGATCCCTGTGAGAGAGGACTCAAACAAGATAAGCCCTACGATGACCCAGTTTATTGCCTGGAAAGAGTTTCCAGGCTACAGAGCAGGAAGGGGGACCCCAGGTGGAGCCCCGAAGTTTCCCTGAATTAAAGAGATGGTAAATAAAACATTATTTTTTATGTATAAATTCATATGTCTTTTTGATTTTTAATTTTCCAAATCACTTTCATCATATACACTCCACCTTTCTAGGCTGATCATTAGCACACACTGCTTTAGAGAAAGCAAACTTTATCACAATCCCCGTTGTTGTAAATTGCTTTGCAGTCGGCTCTGACTCATGACCATCCCATGTACAAGAGAATGGAACTTTGTCTGGTCCTGTGCCATCCTGATGATCGTTGGTATGCTTGAGTTCGTTCTTGTGGCCACTGTGTATTTTGAGTGCCTTCCAACATAGGAGGCTCATCTTCTAGCACTATATTGGACAATATTCTATTGTGACCCATTGGCTCTCATTGGCTAAGTTTCAGAAATAGATCACGAGGCTTTTCTTCCCAGTCTGTCTTAGTCTGAAAGCTCTGCTGAAACCTGTCCACCATGGGTGATCCTGGTAGTATTTGAAATACTGGTGGTATATCTTCCAGCAACACGCAAGCCACCACAGTAGGATAAGCTGACACATGGATGGTAGAAATCCCTAGAAAATTTTTAATAATGATTCAAATTTGAAATTACTTAATAAAAGTAAAGTCAATGGAAGCATTGTAAGGCCATGAAATATAACATATATGTATTTTTGTAACTCATTTAACCACAACTTTATTAAATAATTTTGTTTGAAATAAGCTACTTTTTTGAAATAAGCTATTTTAATATAGATTTTTAAAAATGAAAAATATACAGAAAATAAATGGTTAGAAATGTCCAAGCATGTAAGATAAATAATTCAAATTGGAATCCTGGGCTAAACAAACCCCATGCTTTTTAGTTTGAATCAAAAACTCAAGGCTTCCGCCGTCTCGTGATAGTATCCTAATTTTTTTTTTTTAATTTGGCTTTAACAAGTAGAAAACTAAGCATTAAATACGCGTGTGTGTGCTTATGTATGTGTGTATACAATTATACAGTAACAGTTAATTTTACTGTAAATTTCAGTTACAACTATACACAATATTGTGGGATGTTTAACAGCATCCCTGACTTCTACCGACTAGATGACAGTAGCGCCCCGAGCTGTGACAATCGAAAACGTCTCCAGACGTTGCTAACTGTCCACAACGAGAAAAATAGCCCCCATTTGAGAACTACTAGTTTATATACTAATTAATGTAGAAACTGGTACCTGTACACGGGGGTAAAAAAAGAAACCACTTCTGTCGAGTCGATTCCAACTCACAGCGACCCTATAGGACAGAGTAGAACTGCCCCATAGGGTTTCCAAGGTTGTAATCTTTGTGGAAGCAGACTGACATATCTTTCTCCCACGGAGCGGCTGGTGGGTTCAAACCACCGTCCTTTCAGTTAATATCTGAGCTCTTCACCACTGCTCCACCAGGACTCGTTGGCAACAGGTTTTTAATGTCTTAATAAAGCCCATAAAATATGGCATTTACTTAGTGGTTAGGTGAGAGAGGATGAGAAAACAGACATGGAAGGCTACAAAGGTAGCGATCACTTTTCTGCTATGGCATTTGGTGAAACTGTTGCCCGTGTTATTTTAGTAACCAGAACACATCTCTACAGAGCCTATAAAGGGAAGTGCTCAAAAAGAACAGAGTATCAGTGTGTTTGGTTTATTCTATGCTTCCCACCCCCCCACCCCACTTATATTTTTGCAAAATATTGCAACAATGAAATGAGCAAGCCAGGAAATATTGGACAGTTGCAATCAGAAATAGAAGGAACTAGAGCTTCCTTAAAGGAGGCCTTCTCTGTTTTGCGTGCAACCTAAATTGACCAAGATGCCAGGAAAGTGTGTCCTCTCAGAATTGAAAAAGCCAGCTCACCTTTCACCACAACTAATAGGAGAAAGACTGTTACAGCTCTTCTCAAAGGCTCCGCAATTGTACTTTTAGCCAAAAACATGAGACAGTCACAGGCAAAGATCAGATCACAGGTATTGCCTTCCACGAATGACTAATTTTTCATGGCCACAAGTTAGCCATCCTTAAAATGATGCAGAGGGAGGTAGGCCTAGCAAAAATGCCAGTAAAATTAAAAGAAGGCTTAAAAACTGTATCCTCAGGAGATCTTTGGGCGAAGTTCTTTCACATAGAACTAAATAGACCAGAAACTGATTTTTCAGAAAAATGAGAATTCACATTTGACCTTCAAAGGCTTTTAATTATAAGATACCTAAAGCAACCATTGGTTTCTTAAAACTGCACCAGCAAAGTGGCTAGGGAAGCTGAGTAGTGGTCCAGTGTGGGAGTACTCACCAACATCTACTTCAGAAGATGCCATGGAAGATAATGAAACAAGGAAAGTGTCCCAGGTGGCCAAACTAGGGGCAAAAAATGGACAATGCATAAGAGAGTCCCTCCCAGAGAATAGAATCATAGTCCAATCAAGGTAATTCTTCCACTACCAGGCCGAGGAGTTCTTAAAATTCCTGTCCAGCTTGATTTATTTCACAATTGCAATAAACCAATGACTTTTTACGTGAGAGTTTTTACTGCGTTTATCCTATTTCTGTTCCACCATTGAATACTGGGTATGTATGCATAGGAAACTAGGGGCCTATGATGGAAAAACATGAGTGTTTATGTTTTTTTTTTTTTTAAATAGGTAACCAGACTGTTGGGCTCTCTACTGGATCACATAGAAAGGATTGTACATCACCCAGAGATACCCAGTTTTGAGTGGGATGCAGTAACTAGACAAGACATAGGGTTTTACTCTGAGAAGGATGTTTTCTGTATGCAGGAGGAAGGGTTGTACATGGATACTTGGGTGGTCAGAGTGACAGCCTGTCAGAAACCATTCACTTTTCCCCCAGTACATACCCACTACTTCATTTTAGTAAGAAATTCTGTTTAATTTTAGTTGGGTACGAGGTATCCAGGGAGAGAGACTAAATTTCCCAAGTCTCCCTTTCAAAACAGTCCTGACCACACAATTAATAACCACTACTAGTACCAGAAGAGCCCTGAGGCACACTGGTTAAATCACTTGGCTGCTAAATGAAGGTTCAAGGGTTCAAACCCACCACCTGCTCTGAAGGAGGAAGATGTGGCAGTATGCTTCCATAAAGATTACAGCTTTGGAAACCATGTGGGGCAGTTCTACTTTGCCCTAAGGGTTGCTATGAGTCAGAATCATCTGGACAGCAGGGAGTACTAGAATCAATACCAGTTGCTGTCCAGTTGATTCTGACTCAAAGGGACCGCATGTGTGTCAGAGTAGAACTGTGCTCCATAGGGTTTTCGATGGCTGATTTTTTGGAAGTACATCACCAAACCTTTCTTCCAACACATGTCTGGGTGGACTCAAACCTCCAACCTTTTGGTTATCAGCTGAGCACGTTATTATTTGCATTACCCAGGGACTCTGGAACATGTGAAACTATTTCAGAACCTTTGGGGTCATGTTTTTAAAAGGAAACTGATTGTCTTCAACTAACTGTCCCTTCTTGCTGATTACAGAGTGGCAAAAACTTGGACAGACACCTCAGTCACAGAGATAGTGCCTACTTATTCAGAGTAGCAGATTTGCTTCACCAGTTTGGTTCCCTAGATGACCTCACGGAGAAGAGCCCATCTATTTCCACTGAACTTTTATATGAAATATACTTTAATCTTATTTGGATTACTATAGATTTGGTTCTTTTTTTTGGTGTTTAAGCCTGTACCTTATCTGCTATAACTTCCCTCGGATTACCATGACATTATTAATATTCTCCTTTAAAAGATGTGGAAGTTTAAGGTGTATTTAGATTATATTTTAAGGTCAATTATTTAGGATGTTGAATATATAAAACTGATCAGAGGCTATGGGACATAAACCATTACAGCAGGGAAATGTTTTTCTGCATTTTTGCTTTTAACTTGTTGACAATATTGCCCTGCACCACAGCCTTTGTCTACAGAACTAGGTAAAACATTCTCCAAAAAGTATTTCTATTTTTCTACATCTCTGTTGATTTCTTATTCTATTTTCTAATATAAAAGTTTTTATATCTCCATTTTCCTATGACTAAATTAGTTATGTGACATTATTTTTTATCAAAAACCCTGCTTTAGAATTTGTCAGTTGTATCATCTATTTGTTAAAGATCTGCTTTAAAAATAAAACAATTCTTCTTTATTTGCAATTTTGGTGTAATTTGTAGCTCCCTTTCTAGCAGATGTGTGTGTGCTTATGTGCGTGTGCACATGCTCACATGCACATGATTATTGAGTTTCTTTCCTTTTCTAATTTTCTGAGTTTAATAAGCATCCTTTTATTTCTCTTTTTTCTTATCTAGTAAGAAATTTATTCTTAGCAGAGCTTTAACAGTATCCATTAATTCTCATATATAATTATTTTTCTCAGCTTATTTGGACACTTTAACAGTTTGTCAACTTTTGCTCCCTCCACTACCCAACAACTTGGGTTTTGTCTTGATTCCATGCTTCCAGTAGTGAAACAATAACAAAGTAGGATTAAAATAAAAGAGTGAGAGAGACATAGAAGTTCAACTCATTTTCTTTAATAGACAACCTAAGAATACATCCTCCCTGTGAAGCATAATGGTGGATTTCAAATGAGATCTTGAAGTGAGTAGGCAATGCAAGATACGATTAAGATGAGTTGAATTGTTGTACTAATGTTTAAGGGTTCCTGGTGTCCCGTGGCTTGGTCACTGCCTAGGTCTTGATGTAGATTTTAACAAAAGTCAAGCTGAGATGTAAAAGCGCTAAGTTGACTTAAAGGCTGAGATAAGAAACAGAAGGAGGGAACTCTTGTCAACTACAGGTTGCTAAGGGCATCCACACCAGGAAGGACTTTACCTTCCAGAAGCTCTAGACTGGCACCTCCTCCAGTGCTCACGTGGCTGACTTTATCTTCAGTGTTCCATTTGGCACAGCAAGTAGCAGTGTCTCCACCACCTATTATGGTGATGCACCCCTTGGAAGTGGCTTTCACAATTTCATCCATGAGGGCTTTGGTTCCCTGAGAAAAAGCACTCCATTCAAATACGCCTACAGGTCCATTCCACACAATTAGCTTGGCTTTGGACACAACTTCAGCATACTTCTTGTTGCTCTCAGGACCACAGTCCAAACCCATCCAGCCAGGAGGTATGCCAGATGCTACAGTGGCTTGGCCAACTTTGGCATTCTCATCAAACTTGTCAGCAGTGATAAAGTCAACAGGAAACGTAATCTTCACACCATTATTCTTGGCTTTGGACATGATGTCTGTGACAATCTTGGCTCCCTCTTCATCAAACAAGGAAGCACCAATCTCCATGTTATTGAGTACCTTAAGGAAGGTGTAAGCCATTCCACCACCAATAATCATCTCATTGACCTTGTCCAGCATATTTTTGATGAGTTGGATCTTGTCTGCTACTTTGGCTCCACCAAGTATGGCCAGAAAAGGTCTCTCTGGGATTTCTAAAGCTTTAGAAAAGTACTCCAGCTCCTTCTTCATCAGGAATCCAGATGCTTTCTGGGGTAGATTCACTCCCACCATGGAACTGTGGGCCCTGTGAGCAGTGCCAAAAGCATCATTGACATAGACGTCCCCCAGCTTAGAGAGTGATGTTCGGAAAGCTTCTACTTTAGCTGCCTCAGCCTTAATCTTCTTTCCAGAAGCATCCTGACCCTTCCCTTCTTCCTCTACATGAAAGCGCAAGTTCTCCAGCAGGATGACTGAACCAGCAGCTGGGTTAGCACAGGCTTTCTCCACTTCTGAGCCCACACAGTCCTTCAGAAACAGAACATCCTTACCTAGCAAGGATTTAAGCTCAGCAGCAACAGGCTCTAGAGAGTATTTGTCAGGCATGGGAACACCATCAGGTCGGCCTAGATGGCTCATAAGTACTACTGACTTGGCTCCGTTATCTAGGCAGTACTTGATGCTTGGGATGGAAGCCTTGATTCTCTGGTTGTTTGTAATCTGGTTTTGCTTCATGGGAACGTTGAAGTCTACTCTCATGATGACTCGCTTCCCTTTAACATCCAGTTTGTCCAAAGTCAACTTACTAGAGAGTGACATCTTGAAAAAACAAAGTTATAGGCTGACACCGGAATCAAGATGTTGAAGAACCCGCTTTACCACCGGTGGGAGGCTGCGTTGGCCTTGGTGATTTCTAACGTTTTTCCCTCCTGTTCCGCCCCTTCCTTTTCTGTATTAGTGCACGACAGCCATGATTGGACTGGGCAAAGAAAACCTAGTTCTGCTATTGGTCTATAGTTCTGTCAGTCAGAGTTTAGCTTTGTTTACTGGCGCATATTCGAACTGCCTTGGGTAGAAGGAAAGCCCGGAGTAGCGGTACCTGACTTGGAATGCAGCGAGAGTGGGACAGGTGAAGAAACACTGGAGCCCGTGGTCAAAGAAGAAACCCGTAATGGTATTTTAAAAAAAAAAAAGAAAAGAAAAACAACCATGCCCCAATCCGTTTCAAATCATAATTATTTGAGGTATAAAAACCTTTGTGGTGCCAAATAGGAGAATTTTGAAATAATGGGTCTATGAAACCTTGTTTATTCAAGGCCAAGTTAGTAAGATTCTGTGTTTTTTTTTTCCCTGTGTTAATAAATAGTTCTGTTAAGGCCTTAACTTACTTTAGATATATTGTAGGGTAGGACTGGAATGAAGTTATGTTTTAAACACTTTGTTTCTTCCATTCTCAGAAGACTGCAAGCAAAGACTGCTTCTTGGCTTCTGTAGATTTTCATAATATAATCGCAAAGAAAGCATGAGTAAGAAGCACTAAAGGTGATGGCCGCTTACATATTTCAAGCTACAAAATCATGGTGAGGCTCCTTAACTTTTCTCTCCCGTCTCCTCTTTCTCTCTCTCTATATAAATATATATACATACGTATGTACATATATATATTTGCTACTTGTGTTACTTAGAAATTGAGTTGAAAAGAGTCATGGTTTTCATGAGAATTAATAATAAAATGTCAATTTGAATTTAAAATGAGTGACATTTTATTTTTGGAGAAGTTAGATGTCATGTTAGAAATGAGTGAGTAAATGGTTTAAAAAAGATCTTTTAAATGATATGTGAGCACAGTAGTTGTAAGAGCATTGTCGTGAGTGCTGTTAGGCAGTGTTTTGGGGTTAGACATAGCAGGGATATATAACTGGTAATCCAGTCCTTTTCTGAAAGGATGAATCACTTATTAGAGCATCCCAACCAAATTAGTATTTTAGAAATATCAGCATCCTTGGAGCTCTGAGCTAAAGGTTACCATCTAAAGAAATCACTCTGAGGAATAATTTGTGTTTGAAATCCAACAGCAGAAGCTATTCTTTCATTAGATTATGATTGAAAGTTGGAGTGCTCTTTTAATACAGTTTCTCATATTTTAACCTGGTTGAATTTAGAACTTCTTTGTACTGCTTCTATCACTGGCACCAATATATAGACCTAAATGCTACCTGCCCCCTAACTATGCTCTGGTATTTTCTGAGGTTTGAGGCCCTTTGGAGGAGTCCTGGTGATGCAGTGGTTAAGCGCTAGGCTGCTAACTGAAAGTTGGAACCCACCAGCCACTCCAACGGAGAAAGTTGTAGCAATCTGCTTCCATGAAGATTTACAGTCTTGGAAACCCTACGAGGCAGTTGTACTCTGTCTTACAAGGTCGCTATGAGTCAGAATTGACTCGATGGCAATGGGCGGATTGGGGGCCCTTTGGCCAGCACACTGTTTTGGTGTCTGTTTGTGCTGGGACTGAGATACACTACCTTATGTCCACTCTGCTCATACAAAACATCTTACTCATGAACTTACTCATAAGCAACCCAGGAAGACAAATGATGTAGTGGGCAAAAATCTAAACTGGTAGCTGTGGCTTTTTTTTCTTTTTTTCAAACTCATACTCAGAGTTTATTTGCTTTAGTATCTTGATTCCCCTAAGTGTAAGATTTGTCCTTTTCAGAAGAAGGAAAACAGGCCTTAGTTTCATGATATATCTAGCTGACCGCATCCTCAGTATGTTTTCTCAAGTTTCAGTTACAAATTTTCTTCCCTCTTGGACGATGGGGTTTTAGATGGAAAAGCCCCTTTGATGGCATACTCCACTGCTGAACATGAGATTTGGCAGAGATGCTGGTTTTTCCTTTTAGAGATATGAGAGATGCTATGATTTTTATCCATGAGCTCTTGTGCTCATAAACAGAAATTAACACCACACACACAAGCGCACACACCACCAAGACTCTTCATCTCTTTCCTAGATACAGAGTATTAGTTCAGGCGTCCTAAATGTGCATCTTGCTTTGCTTCTGTATACTATGTGCTGGAACAAGAAGAGTGAATTGTATGTGTTCATCTATTTATGCTTATAGTACCTACCTCACCTCCCTGACTTCTCTCTGGACCCAAATTTATATCTACATCCAATATCTCCATGTTGCAGTCTCATAGTTGCATCACACTCAAGAGGCCAAAATAAAAATCCTACGTATCATTCTAAAATATTTATTTCTGCTTTTACATTGTGTTAAGTGGTTTCATAACGGGGTCATCCTCTCAGAGGCCTCTGGCCTGGAAACATTTAAGTCATGTTCAATTTCTATTTCTCACTTACCTCCCATAGAAGATGGATCAGTTACTAACCCATCTACCAAGATCTATTGTATTCCTCTATTTTTAGTTACATACTCATGGAAATTATTGTCTTACATCACCAAAATATTGGTTATTCTTGTTTTTCACTACCCCAACTTATTTTATTGCTAGGGAAGGAAAATAAAGACCAAAGTATACCTTGACTTTTGAAGCCCTCCAAATCTTATCTCCAAACTGCATTTCTAGTCTTAGCTCCCACTACCTCAGTCTTCTATATAAAAATATTATGTATAATGTATTATATACATTTTAATTAATAATAAAAATATAACTAATGGCTATATAACCACCGATGGCTAACAAAATGAAATATTAATAATTTCAAAGTTCCTGAGTCTCCAAATGAATTTCACCCTCCTCATTCCCCAACAATGATAACTACTATACTGATTTGGTGGAGGTGGTGGTGTTTATTCTTCATTCCCTTTATACCTTTAACGCACAGCTAAGTAGTCCTAAGAATAGATTGTGTTCCTGGATCTTGAATTTTATAGAAATAGAATCATTTTTCTAAGACTTTTTTTTCCCATGCAACTTTATGAGAGTAATACCTGCTGTTGCCTGAGGCATCACACATTCTGTAAAAAAAAAAAAAAAAAAAAAAAAAACTGTGATCCTCGAGTCGATTCCGACTCATAGAGACCCTATAGGACAGAGTAGAACTGCCGCATAGAGTTTCCAACGAGTGCCTGGTGGATTCGAACTGCTGACCTTTGGTTAGCAGCCGTAGCTCTTACCCACTACACAGCCAGGGTTTCCGATCGCACATTAGGATGCCTATAATAAAAAAAGACAGATAATAACAACTGGTGGTGAGGATATGGATAAATTGCAACCCTTATACATTGCTGTTGGAAATGTAACATGGTGCAGCCACTTTAAAATAACAGCTTGACATTTCCTCAAAATGTTAAACACTGAGTTACCATATAATCCAGCAATTCCACTCCTAGATATATAGCACAATGGTATCACTACACTCTTATTATGATGGCTAAAATTAAAAAAAAAAAACAACGAAAAACCCTGACAATAACAAATGTTGAAGATCCATGGCAACAGAAACTCTCATTTATTGCTCTTGTGAAATAAATATGCTGCAACCACTTTGGAAAATGGTAACATATTGTTTACTGCAGAGCTAGTTTTAAAAAGCTAAAATATCCACCTAAGAACATTGTGGGTAGATGAGCAATTCATATGTATTCAAGTATGTGCTTTCTCTGCTTATTGTTCTGTTGCTGCCTCTATTTACCTTTTTCTCTAGCATATTTCTGTTATGTAAGTACTAAGTACAATTTAGTATCGTGTAACTTTTGCTTTTAAATTATGGACTGTTTTTGTTTTCTTAGAGAATACAAAGGACACCAGATAAACAGGACCAAAATTAAATGGCTAAATTGGCCAACTCACAAATCAATCTTTCCTGTAGGACTTTTGCATACTTACACAGATCCTTACCAATCTCTATTATCAGTTATTAATTGAGGTAAGCCCTGAATAGGACAAACCCATTATAAAAAAATGAGGTGGGAACTTTAATTTTATTAAAATGAGGTCACTAAGAATCATTATAAAATAAACAAGAAATATCATCTCTATCTCAAACAAATCCTATAATATTAACGTGTTACTGAGATAAGGCTGTACTTCATCTTCCCCAAAGGAAGGGTCCAAACTGTAGATGAAGTCACCCTAACTAACAAGAAAATTATATCCTAATTTTGGATTTTTGTTTTGTTTTAAAATGATGTTTCAAACGTGATTCCTTCAATTAAAATTTAACCGAAGAGTCTTAGAAGCTAAAAAGTTCAAAATCAGAGTTATTAGAAGTTAAAGAGTTCAAATTCACAGTAACAGTTTTCTGAAGCTACTTCAACTGCTAAGAATTTTCTAATTTAGCTTTAAAAGTAGTTTTACGATAAGGTAAAGTAATAATTGGTTAAAATTATTAACTTTGACATGCCTGTGTAATTGTCTTGCAATACACAAAACTGGAAGACTGATTTTCCAGTATGAATTTTTATTGCTACAAAGCTTATAACTTTTAATTGGAAATAGATGAATGTGTCTCTAGCAACCCGCTGTGAATTTTCGTAAAAGAAAGCATTTCATCATCTCAGGGGTCATGTTTATCACAGTTATGAAATATCCAAAAGTGGTCTGCATAATGAATAACATAATTTCTAATTAAATAATTATGTCCTATTGACTAGTTGTTAGTGAAGTCCATTTTTTTCACTAGACTATTTCATGGTATTCATTCATTATTGAAGATAACACTTCCACAGAGAAGTGGCACAAGTGTAGGAGGAAAGAGTTGTAGTCTGCATAAGGACTAGCTAAAGGAAAGATAATTAAGAATGTATGTTTTTGGATCTCCAGTATTAACTAGGGGAATTAATGAGAGTACATAAACTTACTGCAGGATACAAAGATAATTGATTCTGATAACCTAGCTTAATAGAAATTTTCCTTAAGAATATATGTTACGAAAGGAAAAATAATAAAAAAAAACAGATATCACTAATTT